CAAATTCAGTACACGAACACCCAGAATGCGCTGCTCCTCTATGCAACTTAGATACTAAATCGTTACAGCGCCAACACCGGTGGGTGGCCGACGGTCGTTGAATGGGGTAGGTCAAAAGGTCACCAGTTTGCCTTCTCCATGCTGTTTTCACGATGAAAATCGAGCGAACGTTGTAAATACGGCTAGAATTTAAATTTTTGTTCGAGTTTACGTGCAATATGCTAATATATTTGTTTATTTTCTGTGCATATACATTTCGTTCGTATTTAATTCTTTCTTTCGTGATTGGAAGACGATTATTAAAAATACAGCTGTAAATTGAAACCACTGTAGTTGCGTATTGTGAGCAATAAGTGGCAACAATGTCGGGCGACGATGAATTCAGGCGATTGACACATTGCCATGAATACACTTGATAACTGCTTGCAGACTTCCTGTGGTCATTGTTTATGTTTGGACTCTTGAAACAATAGCAAAATAAAGGGTTGGGCAACTACTCTTTTGTTTAGGCTTGGGAAGAACAATGCAAGCTTTTTACAAATAATTTCAGCTGGATGTACGTTGGTGGGCGGGTGTTGAGAGTTACTAGGCGGCCGTAAAACTTGATGGGCGGGCCGCCCACCTAAAACCCCTTGTGGAGAACACTGATCCTTTAGGACTATGCAGAGACCTGATTAGTTTCAGGGTAAATAATTGTGCATATTAATCACCTAATTTGCATAATTAACCAATTTCCAACTTTCACACTGATATCTCAGGTACTAATCATCACATATCAATGAATGTTTATACATGGATGCTGTAGGACAATAGACAGACCTGGATAATTGTGGGTTAAAATCTGTACATATTAATTACCCAATTTGCATAATTAACCAATTTTAAGCTTTCACACTGATATCTAAAGTACTAATTTCCATTTTAATGAAATTTAGTACAAAGATGCTCTAGGACAATGTACAAACCTACCGGTAATTAGTTTGGGGTAAAACTCTGTTCATATTATTTCCCTAATTAGCATAATAATTCATAATTTTTTGGTTCTAATCACATTTCAATTAAACTTGGTACATAGAGTTTTTGTTACATTGCGCAGACCTCATTAGTTTTACAATCAAATATGTTCATGTTAATTTTCTGATTTGCATACTAGTAATAAGTTTTCAGCTAAGTAATTTCAAATTATATTTAATGTGTCTCCAATACTCTCAGCACATGGGAGTTCTTTCTAAGCTTTCTTTGATTTCTGAAGAGATGATTCACTAATAATAAAATCCAGTGAATATACTTTTTTTTTTCTCCCTTATATTTTACATTCAATTCCAAATCAGTGAAAATAAATTTCATAAAAAAAACACCAAAAAAGTCTTTCCAGCGAAATAAAGTAGCTATGCAGTGTAACTATTATAGCAGCCATGTCGTGGAAGTTCTGATTAAAAATATATTGGTAATATCCTTGTTACCGGTATTTATGATACTCTTTACAAAGTGAAATGTACTATGAAGTTATTAAGAGGATACTGCAAACAGCGAGAGTATAGACCGACGTGCAGTGGAGGTTGATGCAACCATGTACTGTCTGAGTAATAACATTATTATCTTATTTTGGAAATGCCAAAATCCAAAACGTTTAGAACAGATTTAGCGAACTTCTTTGTGTGGGTCCACTCAAACCCTGGGGGCAGCAATGTTTCTTTTTATTATTAGAGGACTCCTATGCACGTAATCGTTCCATATTTTGAATTCATGTTTTCTAATATGGTAGGATGAAAATATACCCAGTGAAAATACCACAAAATTATGGCACACTGTAACTTTTGGCGTTATGGTGACAAGATGTAAAATAATGCATATTATCTAATCGTGGCTTCACTAACAAAATTAATATTATATTTCAAGTTTGAATACAGGAGTTTTAGTCCATACCTCATATTTGTCGGATACGCTTCTGGACTGATAACATTGAGTACTGCCCATGATATGACAGAAACACCACCAAATATACAAGACATTGCAATCACTTCAGCTTTACTACTTAAAAACCATATGAAGAACACACTGGCGCCAGATAACAGTAAACTACCACCTAGGGATCAATGCAAAAAATACATGTAGTCGCACAATATACAATTAAAAAAAAATTTCTTGGAATAAAAACTTCAGAATATTCTGTTTAGCAACAAGACATATAACATACCATGTATGCTCTATGTCGCATACGACTTATTTACCACTCCCATGTCACTGAGAATGTTCTAGAACCGTACTGTGTCTGGGTGGAATATTCTAGATTTTGTTTAGAAACTGGTTGAATGGGCAATAGAACACTAGGAGGCAATAGAAGGTAATGGAACATTCTAGAAATTTATAGTAAATTCTAGACTCATTATGTATGCTGATGTAATGGTCTATTTATAGACAGTGTGGGTATGTATAGGGGAGTTGTTCAGCACTGAGTTCAGATCGGAGACACTCTACCTTTGGTTGGGGGTGGGGGGGTATTATTAGCTTACATAAAAGACATATGTGTGTATGGTCATGATGCAATTCCTCATCCTTTTGTTATTATTATGATTCTTCATTACTCAAGTGATTTCTTCTCATTTTAACTGCTGGACTGAATATACGGTAATATTCTTATGGAATTGGGTAGAACTAAACATTCATACTTCAGACATAAATCACCTACTCAGATAGTCCAAAAAGAATTCTTTATATAAATTTCTATTATTATTACTACATGTCTATGAACAAGGGAATTTGGATGGATATAACAACACAGATGGACACCAAATATTAAAGGGAATGTACTTACTTAGTAAAACTTTTCTGCCCAACCTGTCCACTGTGAGGACTGCAAAGAGGTTTCCAGGGATGTTAGACGCAGCCGTAATGAAAGACGATCGATAAACGGACATTTCAGAATTTTGTTTGTTGATAGTGACGTCTGGAGGCAGCTGTGAACAAGCAGAGCCGCCAGACTGTTCCACTCTCAGGAACAGCTCAGGAAACCACATCCACAAACCATAATATCTGAAATTACAGAGAAGGTAATTATAATTTTTGTCATAATGCTTAGACTGGCAATACAGTCAACAGAAGTTGTCTGTTGGTAAAAACAGAGAACTGGTTTTAGAGACACCATGTGAGCTGTGCAATGAACAGACCAACTCGGGTTCTTGTTCGTTTTTTAGAATAACTAACTGTAGGATATTTCAATCTTCTTCTTGAAAACCACCCTATGTTATAAGTACATTTGGTGATGATATAGTCAACTTTTTTATGGAATATTTTAGTAATTTTGGCTTGACTTCATGAAATCTATTATATGGTTAGAACATTTTGGATAAGTATGAGTTCATCAAAGACTATAAATATGATATCATGCTTACTATGTATGCACACTGCTTCGTATTTTTAGCTTTTAGGGAACATTTTTTATTAATTTGGTCCAAAACTGATGTAAAATTGAAATTACAAAAATTATTTTGTTTGACCTCCAAGTGACAGGCCAATTTTGGTTGTTTTCTCATCAGTCAAGGTAGAGCCAAAAAATTACAATGTAATTAAACTCACCCAAATGAAAGTGTAAATACTATCGCCATGAGATTTACTATCACACCCAAATATGGTGGCTGGAACAGTTTCTTTGTACCAGCAAAACTATGTGAAAAGTTTTGTTTTAATTGTGTCCATTCAATTTTCTGACCTACGGCTTCCAGTTGGGTTGTTTTTCTTGCCAGCTGAGACGGACATAAGGATTTTACCTAAACACAATGAGAAAAAACAGTTATTGATTAGACAGGAGTTGGGCTGTCAAATGTACAGTCTAATTGGCTGAGCTACATCACATGTTCTATGTTGCTTGGATGTGCATTCTATGATGGAATTAACATGTTTTGCCTGAATCCAGCGTTCTGATTGGCTGAAGTAAAGTCTTGTATCTAGCAATCTGATTGGCTAAAGCAAGGTTTTGTATCTGGCACGCTTATACTAATTATTATTATTACCTAAAAAAATAAAATTATGAATTTTTGAGAAAACCTCCACAAGGAAATAGTGTGTTCTTTGCATCATAGCATTCAAATTGAACGCATGACATCAACAATACATACGTTTTTAAACTTGTTTGCTTGGATTATGTACAGAAAGAGTATCATTAATTTCACCAGAAATAAGTTGAATTATATTGTCATCTACGTGCAAGTTCTATAATATGAAATGTACTGTGGAATACTTTATTTTCGCTGGAATTAATTTTCGCTGAAAAGGCTTTTTGAGCATTTTGTATGGAATTTATTTTCACTGATTTTTGATGAGTTTAATGTGAAATCTAGGAAAAAAAGTATATTCGCTGGATTTTATTTTCATGGAATCATCACTTCAGCGAAAATAGCGAAAATAAATTCCAAGCGAAAATAAAGTATTCTACAGTATTCGAATGTAAATTCATGCAAATACAACTACATCTTATTATGCCTCTTAATAACTGTCAACATTCCCCCAGGGTTTTTATTTCTGTGAGAATAAAAAACAAACTTCAAAGGCAAGTGTAAAATGTCATAGACATTTCATAGATGCCATCATTGTTTTGTTTTTTTCTTACAGGGAAATAAACAGTTTATGTCTGAGAGATTGTTGATGATAAAATACAATCCAGGAAAAGGCATTGAGAAAATTGGAAACAGCTGTTTTGTGGTGTATTTCACATGCAACTATGTTACCGGTATAATTAGTTTATATATTGTATACTAGTCATATTTGGAAACTGATTTTATTCTGATTATTTATAGCAATTTAGTCTGACTACTGAGATTAATGCTGTACTACAAATACAGAGAGATAAACTCAGATTATATATTTATTTATAAATAAATAAATAAATACCACTAGAGTGTGCATTTGTAGCTATTAAAGTATAAAGTGATAATAAAACAGTTTTATATTCACTCAACTTTTGAGAGTGAATAGAAAACCCGCACTGTATTTCTAACATGACCAAGTCGTTTCCACCAATCAGATAGCAGAATTCATGATCTCAGAAAAGATTTTCTTAATGCAGGGTGTTTAATTTAGAATTTGGTCGAGTTGTTCCAGCAATCAAGTATCGTAACAAGATTCATGAAATGCGAGTCATCATTGTGAAGACACATGGAACTGCCTAGAACTTTGTTCTGTATTTTGATTTGTAGCGAAAGTCGCATTAATTTGTCAATTTCGCCATACAAAATCAGCACTGACATTAACAATAACAGCATCTGCAGTGGCAAACTTAATACAATATAGTGGAAATCAAAAATCGCCAGGGATACACTCAACTGACACGGTAGCAATGTTAGAAGTTATTACCATAAACCATTTTCTACATGGTTCTGTTGTCACTCATCCAACCTACACATAAAACGATTCACTCACTCACAGCTAGAAGGAACACTCACAGGATAATCTTCTTTCCTTTTATTTCTATTGCTGATAATGTACATTTTTCTCAAGACATTATGTGCATGGGTTTCTTGGCCATTCTGTAAATAAGAAATGTTTCCAAAATGAAAGAATGAAATTTGTTAAAGGGAGACAATAATACTGCAATTGTGCGAGTTCATCACAGTAATTAATCACAGTCATTCTTGAGGCGATTGCTAAATAAAATTGAAGGGAAAAATGACTAGTACATGTACACTACAGCTCTTGCTATTTTACAAGTGAAGCATTGTGGTATTCCCATCATGCATCTCACTCGTTATGTACTGATGGCGTTGTGAAAGAGTAAAGAATATTGCAGATTCACTGTTACATGGATTTTGTTGTTTTTTTTTCTTCTGGAGGATGAAGCATTATATATGCCATTAACTGGAGCACATTGTGAATTGTCACAAAGTGTAGCAATTCCCAGCTCTTTGATATCAAGTTGTCATAGAGACAACTAAAAGATGAAATACTTGTGATGCTATCCTGTTCACATTAAAGTTTGAATTAGTACATTAGTCACTCGCGTTTTACCCACGAATTTCACAACACTTCCTTGTTAAAATAATAACATAAGAACGTTCCCTGTCATACACGGCAAGGTTGAATGCGCAAAGTCAGTGTGTGATTGAGAACTGTCTTTCAAAACTTTCCTACTCTCCCCTAATACTAGAGTAACCTAATATTATCCTTGATTCATTTGTTACCTCAAGTAAAAACTTTGGACTTTCCGGAAGCAGAAAAAAGACAAATGAAGACATAAAACTTGGTATGGTACAGACAACAACGAACAGCCTCCAGCTTGCAAATTGAAATTTCTCGGAATAATATCCAAGGTATGAGTGTGGAATGATGAGAAACGCCATCCCCGCTGTCAACACATTCCCAAAGATCCAGAACATAGATAAGGCTGCCAACATTGAACCACGATGATTCTTGGGTTGAAATTCGATAAAATACGAACATAGTACTGGCATTGTTCCACCAACTCTGAAAAAAAATTCAAACAAAGCATCATAGATCTGTAATTAATATGAAGAACGAGAAATCCTAGCAATCCAACATATCTTACCCAACGCCACTGAGAAACCTCATAAAAAGGAATGGTCCATATGTTTGCATACAACTTGACAGCAAACCAAAGACTCCATTCATAACAAGTCATTGTCAATGACACGTCCCCGTTCCGTTCATATTTGAGTGACATATACATTCAAAGCAGATCATGACCGAAATGCACCTGCATATGTACAACACATTGTACTAAATCTGAACAAAATCCATCCATGCATGACTGAGATCCGGTTCCGGAATTGTGAAAATACGTAATTTTGATGCATTTTCGGCCTTAAAATGGCCATCATTCAGCTATTGTTAAGCGGACCATGAAACAAATGCACATATCTAT